CCCCCCCCAGCCCCTCCTCCCCCAGCCTGCAGCATTGCATGGGGTTGTTGTGACTCAAGTGCAGGACCTGGCGCTCAGCCTTGTTGAACCTCATACAGTTGGCCTCGGCCCATTGATCCAGCCTGTCCAGATCCCTCTGCAGGGCCTTCCTACCCTCCAGCAAATCAACACTCCCGGCCAACTTGGTGTCATCTGCAAACTTACTGAGGGTGCAGTCATCCCCCTTGTCCAGATCACCGATAAAGATATTGAACAGGACTGGCCCCAGTACTGAGCCCTCGGGAACACCACTTGTGACTGGATTTAACTCCGTTCACCACAACTTTTTGTTGGTGCAGCCAGTTTTTTACCCAGTGAAGAGGATGCCCATCCAAGCCATGAGCAGCCAGTTTCTCCGGGACAACGATGTGAGAAATGGTGTCAAAGGCTTTACTAAAGCCCAAGTAGACAACATCCACAGCCTTTCCCTCATCCACCAAGCAGGTCACCTTGTCATAGAAGGAGTTTAGGTTAGTCAAGCAGGACCTGCCTTTCATAAACCCATGCTGACTGGGCCTGATCCCCTGGTTGTCCCATACATGCCACGTAATGGTACTCAAGATGACCTTCCCCGGCACCAAGGTCAGGCTGACAGGCCTGTAGTTCCCTGGATCCTCCTTCCGACCCTTCCTGTAGATGGGTATCACGTTTGCTAACATCCAGTCAACCGGGACCTCCCCAGTTGGCCAGGACTGCTGATAGACAATGGAAAGTGGCTTGGTGAGCACCTCCGCCAAAATCTTTGTATTTGTTTTCTGTTAGTTTCTAGACAGGAGTGCTGCTGTCTCTCTGCATGGCACTAATTTAGGTCTCTACCCTCTGACCAGATAACAGTTTTCATATAACAAGAAATGTACCTCTATGTGAGTTTTCTTCATCCAACAAATTCAGTGGTGAGTATGCAAACATTGTCTGAAGTTACCAGGGTGCTGCCCAGCAGGCACAGAGAGTTCACGCTGCCTCCCAACACACCCAAATGGCGTTAGGACTCGCCATGAAGGCTCTGCACACCTCGTGCAGCAGGCCAACAGACCACAACAGCTGCATCACCTCAGCCAGAATAAATCCTCTGCCAAATAAATGGAATAAAATCCCACCAGACTGGCAAATGGAGCAGCAATTATTTGAGGCAGCTGAGGGCTACTCGTGAAGGGATTTCCAGTGTTTCATTTTTATTTCAGGGCCCAAAATCTTGCCTGTACAAAGTTTATTCATTGATGGGGTTCCTTCCAGCTTAGAGTCACAACAGAAACGTGAACAATCATTGCTTGAAAAGAGGTTTGCGGGGCCTGACCTCAGGCAAGAAGCGGTTTGAGGGCATGAAACCCCTTCAGTGGAGACATCGCCAGGATCCGAGGGGGCTGCGAGTGCTCATGGCCATGGCTGGCCTCTCCCAGACTGTCCCAGTCCTGACCTTTGGTGCAAAGGGGGCTTGTTGCTTTTCCTTTGGTACGTGCTTCCATACCTCATGGTAGCTGTTACAGTCCCTGCAGTGACATGAAACCCACTGGTTTTGCACAGGACATGGCAACCTGCGGGGCAGGAAACGAGGAGTGCAACCTGCTGACTTCAAGAGATTTCAAGAGATATCTGGGACAGTGTCTTCCTACAAACACCGATGCTCTGCTGGCAGGGCTGGTTGCAGCTGTACGCCAGAGCTCTGCCTTGCTCCCAGCCCTCCTTGAGCCTCGCACCAAAACTTTTAGTGCCCTTCACGTAGCAACGCATGTGCTGCTGATACAACCATGAAGGAACCTCTCTAGAGGTTTTTGACCTTGTATGGTGCTTCCTTACAAAGGCCAGGGGTAATGCTATGTTTAAAAAGGCCACGTCTCATGGTTGCTGCTTTAGAGGTGTAATACAGTGCAGACTTTTTGTAGTACAAAGGAGAATTAGTCTTTATTTAAAGTTCATGATTTTTTTTTACAAAAAGGTAAAAGGTTGAATGAGCCTAATTTCTGCACACTGAAATTAGGCATATTCAGCATTACACTAACTATTGTTGACAGGCATTTAGAATTGATTCAGCCTTTCTCTTAGTTACAGGCGGTTCACTAAACTACAAGTAAATAGGTGCTATGTAAGGCTCCCAGGCTGGAAGCAGGTGTGAACGGATCCCTTGGACTGAGCTGGCACAACAGCCCCACATTTCTGACTAGGCTGGCCACCTTCATCAGGATTCCAGTGAATCACTTCTCTTAAACCTGGGAATTTATCAGCCCTAATCCTTTGCCAGAGACGCGGCATCTTTTCCCTTTTATTTTTTTTCAGGTGAAAAGGGCCTGGCAGAGGCGCAGTTTCACTCCAGGCCTTCCTCAGCCCTCCTGTTGGTGCCTGCTAGGAGTAGGGTGGTGGGATGCTGCTGTGATCCAGCATGGTTTCCAGTGTGGCATCAGGCAAGAGCATGTGCTTCTGCAAAGACCGCATGTGTGCCAGCAGTGTGTCAGTGGCCACGTCCGCCCTTTGGGCGCAAGGACTCCATAGGTGAGCAGTCTGGCAGGCAAACCCTCTTGTTCCCTCTTGGACACAGCTGTGCCCACAGAGCTCCTTGCAAGCACTGTTGGGGTGCCCTTCCTCTGCAAATTCTCCTTTCCTTTCTGAGCCCTCTGAGCTGTGGGGGTGAGCATTCAGCCCCTTTTTGATTCCCCACAGGCTCCCCGGAGCACTTTGGCCTGGCAGATGTGGCCCTATCATGATCACGCTTGAGGCAGGCAGGGGCTGATACAGCACCCAGACCCAGGCTGGGCATGGACCACGCGGGGCAGAGCCCAAGGGCTGGGTGGGAGAGATCAGAAAAGGCAGGCAGAGCCCACAGCCCATCCCCCCACTCAGAGGAGCCAGAGCCTGAAGAGTGCTGCTGCAGGGGAGTGCACCAGCCTCAGAAATTAGCCTGGGAATTAACACGGTCTGACAGAGGGTTGGGTATGACAAAATGAGCTTGCTTGCCTTGCAAAGGGGTAGTGTACACCAGCGAGACAGCCTGGGAGGCTGCCAAAGCCTATTTACCTCCTGAACGCAGAGCATCCTTCTGTGCCGCCACAGCCCCTCCAGGGCTTGCCTCCTACCCGCACCCCTGCTGCTGCAGAGGAGCTGAAGAGATGCAGGGTGCCACAGCACAAACACCATCTGCATTCAGGCACCTGCAGCCGCTCAGAGCCCTTCCTGGTGGCATTTCTGATGACTCTTTTGAGGGTAAAGCCTAGAAGTCTCTGCTTCCTCACAGAAGGGGGAAGAGACGACACTTTCAGGCCACATCTGGTTTTCTCTCAAGAACATTGCTGAATACAACCCAATTCAACCTCACTTCTCCACAAGGCTAAGCCTGTCAGGCATGTGATTACCACTAGAGACTCACTGGGAGAAGCTAATCCATGACTGCTGGGTGCAGCAGAGATGCACAGGTTAGGGGGGGCACCTGTGTCCTCACCCACTTTCTTACATTCTGTCTCCAACCACTCCGTAACATTTGCTGTGGGAAAAGAGCTCTTTGGAGCAAAGAAGCCTTTGCTTTAACGTGGGGTTGCTGTTTGTGTGCTTTGGTGGTGGCGATGGGAAGCTGCATGGCACATGTGAGTCAGAGGGTATCAGATCTGTCCCAGTGTCACCAGGCTGGAGCTCACCATTTGTGCGAAGGAGACAGATGCACACGCCTGTGCACGGGGGGACGAGGTACTGCTGGGGAAGGGAGGGTGCTCAGAGAGAAAGGGGAAAATAACAATCAGCTTCTAGCCTTGTAGGGACTAACAGCATCCGGGAGAATAAAGAAACAGTCATCAGACACTGTTTTTCACTCTGCACTGTGGTATGCAGACAGCCGCCCACAGGGCCTCTGCCCCCAACCATAGGAAAGAGGCTGAGACAAGTGAAATTTCAGCATGGAAAATATGGTGTAGACGTGACCAAACAGGCACCTCTTGTAATGTGCAATGCATGCTCACTGCAAAATGGAGAATGCTGAATGTCTAGGCAGGAGTGATAACAAAAGGGTAGTCTATCTGTCTCATATAGTCAGAGACTAACTGTTAGGTTTTTCTTCAGTTGATGCTACTGAATATGAAATACCCTCCTTGTTAATATTGTTTAATATCCACGAATATAGTAAGTATTTTACAGAAATATCTGGACTGCCTGTCCCTGCTGCAAAGGAGTTATGAGTCTGGCAGGCAAAACAAAGCCCCAGCATGCCCTAGAAGCAGATGTCAGGGAGGATCAGGAGAAAGGAGACATAGCTATGCTGGTAGTTCAGGTCAGGCTCCTGGGTTCAGTCCTTTGCTTACCAGCAAAAGGTGTACTTTCTTACATTGTGTTATCCCATACATGAAGAATAAAAGACAAGGTGAAATCTAAGGAGCAGCAGGCAAAGTTCAACCCTTTTCCCATGGCCGCTCAGCAGCTAACCGAGGTGACAGCAAAGCGTGCTGGAGTCCTGCTGCATTTGATGCCATGTGCTTGCTGAGAGGAGCTAAGAAAAGCAACCACCGTTTCCACCAGTGGAGAGTGGTATTGCGAGGCACCAAGAAGACATGCATGGGTCTTAAAGCATCTCTGTACTCATTGCTAGCAACCAAAACTGCCAAATGGGTCTTTAAGAGCGATGGGCAGTGTGAGGGTGGGGAAGGGGCAGAGAGACCTTGGGGCTGCTCTGCTTGGGAGCAGTGCCAGGGAAAGGCGGTGGTGAAGCAGGTCACTGACAAGGCACCGTGGGAAGAGCAGGGAAATGGCAGCAATTTAACCTGTACTGCGGTGCCATGAAAAATGGCTTATGACAGGATTTTAAGAACAGGAGGTGAACTTCTTGTTTCCTGAGTCTGTACTCTGGTAATGGGAAGTGGAAGCATGGTGGAGCATACAGTTCACAGCCCCAAGGGTGTCCAGCCCCAAGGCGCTCCTCTGCAAAGTCTCTTAGCATTTGTGTTCCCCACAGGATTTACTCTAGGCGCTGTTTGAAATTCGAGTCCCACTGACACAAAACCTTTCGGATTGAGTGTGGCCTTATTTTTCCTAGCACTCTCCCACCCACCAGGCATTGCAGCTACACTCCTAGTTAGGGCTCCTTGTCAGCTACTACTAAATCCCTGTGAAATGTCAAGCAAGGCTGACGAGAAAGGGGCCAGGGCCAGCCTGGATCACAGACCCTGCCTCTGCATGGAAAACATCCCCTAGAAGCTTCTCCACCTGCCTCCGAGGCGCGCTGGGACTGTAAGGGGATGAGGCTTTCGTACAGGTGCTGCATCTCAGGGGGGAGAAAAACCCTGTAAGAACAGCACAGCAAGACAATAAGGTGACAACAGGACAATGAGACAATGCAGCCTGCTCAGTACACCGTGGCCCCGTGACGGGATGAGCACAGCAGCAGTGCTGCGCTGGCTCACGCCTGTACCACACACACCGACCACATCCTCTGCCCGCAGCTGCTCTGCTCTTCCCTGGGCTCCCAGCTGCACTGCCGTGTGCCCTCAGTGCCTGCCCAGTGCTGGGACACGGCTCTGCCATCTGGTCTCATTCCCTCGGCAAGTGCCGGGCCTGTGGCCCACAGCCCTTCCCCAAAATTATTGCCATGCCTGCAGCTCTTCAGGAACCGGCGCTGCAGGTGCTCAGTACTGGGGGACAGGGTGGGGGGGGGAAGCTGGCACAGTGATTTTGGCATGCAGGAGCCCCGCTGAAAGGGGACAGCCCCACGCTGCCTGGCACCCTGGTCCCCACAGCACGGGGAAGCTTTGTGGGTGCTTGGAAGGGGACAGCAATGTGCAGCGGAAGCAGCTTGTTCACTGCCTCTGCTGGGCTGCTCCCCCTCCCCAGTCTTACCCTATATCTGCCAGGGTCATGGGAGATGCTCAAGGACCCCCGGGAAGGTGGACCCTTGGGTTGTGTCCTGTCCCCATGTCCTCCATCTCTGCCCAATGGCTTTACCCTGCCCCACTGCCACTGTCTGCTCCGCAGAGCCTATTCCACCCTAATGGGGAAGGGAGGGACCCTCGTGCCCCATCCCAGCCATCCTCCTTGTCCTGTCCTTCAGTGAGAGAAGGCCCCTGATCCATCAGGTGAGGACCTTGGCACAGGTCCCGAGATGGAATGAGCCCATGTGCTGAGGATGCAGGCAGTGCTGCCAGCACTGCTGGGTGCGGCTGCGAACTGTTTTTTGTCGGTTCCTCTTTTCACAAACACCAAGGTTCAAACTCAGCAATACCACCTCTGCTGCAGGCAGCCCCAGACTCCTCCAGGGACAGCTGGGTGACCGAGATGTGCAGAGCATGCCAAGGATCTGCTGGACACCGGGTCCCCGCTGCGTCCCACTGCATGCAGTATGGCCACGTCCTGGCCTTAGTGTGCACCATGCAAACAAGCTGGAGAGCCACACAACGCCTGGGCATGGTTGGGAGGACAGCTTCAGTGGGGGATGTGGGCAAGGGGAAGCCACTCTGGGCAGGAGAATATCCTCTGACACAGGTTTAGCCCTTGGTTTTTGAGTGACAGTGTGCTGTGCTCATGCTCCCTGCAACCACAGGGACACATTTCTCCTGGGAACAGGCTCCTATGGCCCATACCACACAGTACAGACCCTGCTGTCACTTCACATCAGCAATTAAAGATCCTGGTCCCATTCCCGGGCCTCTATCATAGCCAGGGTCCAGGTTTCTTTAGCCTGCGTCAGCCCAGACATGTCCCTGCAGTGGGTCGAGACAACACGAGTAGATGGTAGTGTAATGATTTTCATCGCCTAGATCTGGCAAGATTAGTTTAGAGAAATGGTCCAATTCAGACAGATGTAGAGAGACGCAAAGTCATGGCCCCTGGACCGCAGCTCAAACCCCAGACAGTGCCACGCTGGACTGATTCACTCCTGGGAGGTCAGATAACATGTGAGCCTGATGATACTCACTAAATGACTCTGCTGGTTTGGAAGTGTGCAGCCTGTGTAGGAAGAGCCCAGCAAAGCTCTGGGGGTGCCCTGCCCCTCCGGCACCAAGAAGCCCGTTAAAGAGCAATCCCAGCATACCATAACTCCTGCCCTTCAGAGTCTCCTAGAGACACAGGGGCTCAGCTCACAGCTCCCCAGATCTCTGCTGGGCACCAAAACGTATCTGCGCTGCAGTGAGGACATGGCATCTGCACACCGTGCAGAGAGACGGCCACCTGCGGCTCGCAGGGACACGGCCCACTTCATGGGGGAATGCTAAGGCCCCTGCGGAGGCTTTCCCAGCACACGGGGGTTTACTGCCCTCCATCCCCAAATAGAGCTTCACCCCAGCACAACCTGACTGATGCCCGAGTATCTTGGGCCATGGTATGGGCATCAGCTCCAGTCCTCTCTGATACAGCTACTGCATCCTGCACATGGTAAAGATATACAGCAAATTTGCAGCAGGAGAGCAGCAAAACCTTTTATTGTGGGGAGAGGAGTGAGCACTTCTTACCTGTTTCCTGGGGTTCTCCGGAGATGTCGAGGTCCGGCTCTTCCTGCTTGTGCGCTGCCAGCAGAGGTGTGAGGAACAGAAGAAATGTCCATCGCAGGGCCATGTTTGCTTATGCTCCCAGGGCAGGACTGAGGTTTCAGACCTGCTGGCTGCCTCACAACACACCCATCCGACTGCGAGAGGTGCAAGCACAGAAAGGAAACAGCCACGCAGAGAAATCACATATGGTGCAAGAGGCTTCCTCATTGGAGAGGGAACCTCCGCCAGTGTCAGCACCGCTTTCATTCTTCTCCTCTCTGCACCAGGGCAGCTTCACGCCCCTTTTGCAATGTGGCTGCTCTCTGATCGTTTGTCTCAGAACAACAGTTCTCAGGCTTTCTGGCAGGAGCAGCCACTAGCCACAACAGCTGGATTGCCTCCTCTCCTGGCGCAGATCTCGGCAGTCCCAGAAGGACTTGTGAGCTGTGCTGGTTCGTGACAGGGGTTTTGTAGGGAGATGTAGCTTCCGTATTCACATGATAAAGTCAAGCAGAGACTACATCAGGACAACCCTCACCTTGTTACTGCCTGATAAGGACTGTGATAACAAGGACTTCTGAAGTGCACTGATGATCTTAATTACTTGGCAGTGCATGCCATGGGCAGGAAAGCCATGGTTTTGGCAGAAGTGGCTGGGTGCTCAAGACTGGGCTGTGATGCTCGTGAGCAAGCTGATGAGAGTGCTGGGGACCTGAAGCCCAAGTGTTGTGGCAGGTTGTGTCACCAACACATGCTGGGAGTGGGAATGACCATGAAGGGGTGAGAAGGTGGCACAGGCACAGCAGTGGGCAGGGAAGGGGCTGCCGATGAATTTGTGCTCCAGCTTCCCCAGCTGCCCAGCAGCCTTTGCTGGATGTGCTTGGCCCGCGTCCCAGCTGAAACACATAGCTGGGAGAAAAGCAAGCCCTGAAATCTTTTCTGAGGCTTTGCTGCAAGGCTGCAGACCCTTGTGATGGCCTTCCTCTTTATTGTCCTCTTCAGAAAGGCTGGGTAGTCCCAAGCCTGGGGTCAGGCTCTGCTTTCTGCTGATGCAGAAATCTGCAAATCTGCTTGATTTGCACACCCTGCAACACCTTTATTCAGCAGCATCGAGCAGGCCAGTGTGGGTGGCCCTCTCCAAATACATTCTCCCCAGCTACCCCAAAAATCTGACCCTGAGCAAAATGTGGTAGAAGTCTTGTTTTATTTTTTTTCTGCAATGACGGTGCTTGAGGGCAGATACTCCAGCAGTCTTTTACCTCTCAGGGACAGAGTTGGAGTCTGCTCTGCCACCTTCTTTGTGCCCTCCTATGCTCAGAAAGACAGTCTCAGCCTCTTCTCACTTGTCTGTGTTTCATCTCTTCCTGCAACAGAGCCGGCAGGGCCAGCGGTCAACCCCAGGAACCTCCCTTTTTATTTCCTTCACTCAGGTTATGAAGCTCACCCATGGAGAGTGTACCATATTCAAGCATGCTTGCCCTGGGGCTGCAAGTGCGCAGCCAGGACCCTGGCATGGCAGCAGGGCACAGCCTGGGAGGTAGCTGTGCTCCTTCTTGTGTGGGAGGTTTGCAGGGTGGTGGGAAGGAACCACTGCTCTGCCTCCAGCAACAGCAGCAACTCAGACATCACCTCTCTCTGCCCATTGGTGCTCCTGGGTCTTTCAAGAAATAATTAAAGGGCTGCAAAAGCAAACTATATCAGTAGGAATAGGTTCCTCATTTGGATGATCTTTGGAAAATGAGTAGGGAAATTCCATAAATTAAAAAAGACTTAAAAAAAAATCACATCCAGTCCCTCTGTGCACCACTCCCAGCACAAGGGCTGTCAGATCCTATGCTAACAGTTTACGGCATCTCCAAAAGCCCTTCATTACCCCATCTGAAACCTCAAAAGCCATGGAGGAAGTATGGCCCAAGCAGCTGCCAGGAAGCCATCTCATTCTCTCGCTCTTTACACTTCCCCTTGCTCCACATCAGAAAAATCCAGCCGTGAGCACAACCTGGGCTCTTGCACAGAGGACAGAGGGATGTTGCAAGCCAGCGCCACCTTCTGCAGCGGGTCCAGCAGCTACATGCTTCGGTCACGTACGGCAAACCCGAAGCCACACAGACAGCTTTGGCTTGTTTGCAACAAGACCGGACACAAGTGTCCCTGGGCTTCTTGGTTTGGCAAGTCGCACTGCCTCCCCCATGTCACCCCGTTGCAGAGCACACCTGGCAGATGAGGCACAGCTGGGAGGATGGGCAGGGTGTATTTCAGCGGGGTGTAGGCAGGGAGCCACATCCTGCTGCGATGCCAGGGTCCAGGCGCGCTGATACGCATGTGTCCCATTTCGCCACAAAACTTTCAGTGTGCTGGCATTTGAGCCACGTTTCGCAATGATCTTGCCACCCTGGGAGACGTCACTCCTCCGCTGCGAGGACATGCTCTCCTATTGACCCTACAGACTTTGTGGCGGATTTGAAGCTCTTGAAGTGTTTGCAAAAAGGACTGCTGGCTGCTTCTACCGGCTGTTATTTGCTCTCTTTTTTGTTTGTCTTACCAAGCTTTTACATCTTACTTGCCTGATACTATTTTTTGCTATCTGGACATGCATTTGACTCTTTGAAGGGGCCTCTCTGTATCGAATAACCTCTGGCCCTAGTGTTGGCCCTGCTGGTTTCTCTCTGCCTTTTGATACAAGGAACCCTGAAAGGCTGCATTAGATCTTTGCAAGTTTGCTGGACACTGTGTGACCATGCTTCTTCTTTTAGCTTCATTTTATCCAAGTTTCCTCATTTCACACATTTCCCCTTTCTGAAGCTGAACAAAATGCCACTGGACTTTTCAATCTTTGATGAGTACACAGGGTCACGGAAACAAAGCATGTTGTGGCTGTCACTGGCAGACAGCCCTTTCCTGAGAATGTGCTCCGTCCAGTCCTGCACAGAGCTCAGTTCCCCATCTTCCTCCCTTCTGGTGCACGTGGAGGAGACACACACATGGACGTCTTCCTTGCCCCTGGCTGGTATTGCAAACCAGTGGCAGTAGTATTACACCCTGCCTCTTCCCTTTGGTTGAGATCCATGTTCCCAAAGGTGTATCTGTGGTGCAAAGGGGTCTGCATCCCTCTTCTAAAGCAGGAACCCTATCACTGGGGCCACACCTTGGAGAAAGGGCTCCTGCCTGCTCCTGGCCTCCTGCCTGCAGCTGGAAGTTGGTGCCTGCACCCACACACGCTACTCCCCTACATGATGCTCTCCAGGAGCAGCACCTGGCTTGCCAGTCCTCACCTAAATCTCCCCCGTGCACACAGCTGATGGTGTGCAGAGACTGGGTCTTGCCCGTGAGCATCACAGCAAGGGGAAACAGGGTCTCTGGGCCGTGAAAGCCGCTTGTGGGCAATCCTGCCCCTAAGATTCATTCAGGGGAAACCTTATGGGTTTCATTGTACAGATGGGGGCACTGAGGCAGAGACGGAGTCAGTGAAGGGGCTGAGGAAGGAAGTCTGCACGGCAGATGCCGACTTCAGTGCTGAGTCCCAGGACAGTGCCGCAGTCGCAGCGCTGTCCTTCCTCCGGCTGAAGGGGAACTGGGCTGCACCCCAGCATCTGGTCCTGCCTCAGCACTCCTGGGCTACTGTCATGAGCTGGGGCATGCCAACCAGAAACGTGGGAAGCAGCTCCTGTGACCGTGGACTGTGATAGCCCCTGTGCGAGGAATTGGTTTGTCCCGGGGCTGTGCTGCATCTGGGCTAGCCTGAAAGCTGGATGTTCAGCTGTTTCGAGCATGCACAAAGCTCTCAGGGGTGAATATGAGCTCATACATGGCTTGATGTCCCCAAAGCAGTGGTCGCAGAGGTGTCAGGGCCCCTTGCATGCCCATCCCCAGCCTGGCAGCCCCTGCCCTATATGGTGTGGCTGCTGCATGGAGCCTTGCGGGATTTGGGGATGTGTCATTGCCTGATGGATGCTGGCAGGCTGAGCACTGGGTCTGGCTGCCAGGAGGGGCATGGGAAGGAAAGGCATCCCCTCCCCTCCCTCAATATGAGGGCCTTTCCTTCGGACACACACATGCCTGCTTGTGCCCCATGCTCCCTTGTGCAGACGTCTGCCCCTCTGCTGCCTTCAACCACGGTGCTGCCTGCAGCCCTTGCAAGAGAATGTACAATGCCAGCAGAGCATGAGCCCATTTCCCACCATGCTGACACTTCCCCACTTGCTCAGCTTTTAGTGCCTTGAAAAGCTGCCATGTTAATGCGATACTTTGTTGTCTGCCAGATGCCACGCAGTCATGGTGACATTACAGTCACACTCCTCTGCCAGGCCTGATACTGGCTGGTACTGAGTCTGTTCCATGAGACAACCTCTGCTTTCCTGTGAGTCTTGCTGACTGGCATGGCTTGCAGGTCTGTCCTTAGAAACTATGACATCCCAGCTCAGCCATAGGGTTCACCCTCTGACGACAGCTCTCTTGCTGTGGTTGCAGACCCCCAGGGCCTTGTGCTCACCCTGAGGCTGCCTATCCTGACTCTGTGTGCATCCCTATACCACCTCTCCCTGCCAGTCCTGACTCCATGTGCATCCCTGTCCCACCTCTCCCTGCCTGTCCTGCTCAAATGTGCATTCCCGTCTCAGCTCTCTCAGCCTGTCCCCAAAGCAGCGTGGCAGTTTGCTAGTGCTGAGGTGCCTCGTCCCTTCCGAGTCTCCCACAGCAGCCTCTGAGAGCTGCCACCGTTGCTTCAGCCCTGGCAGGCATCCAGGGACCATGGCCACAGCCTTTGCCCTGAAGATGAGCCAGGTCCTGACGACCTGGGCAGAGAAGGTCCAAGGGGACCTGCCAGGACCCCCTAGCACTTGGCACCAGCACGTCTCTGTCTCTCAGCTGGTGCATGTCCCTCAGGTTGTCATGCACATTTGGACTCCCACTACTCCCTTAATCTGTCCCCAGCCATGCTGTCACCCCATGTCTTTACCTTCCCCACCACTGGGTCCCACCGTCCCCCACCACCCCCCCAAAGCA